TAATCGTGGTTTTCTAGTGGAGGGGGTCCTATTTGACACGGTTTTCCAGTGAGGGGAGCCCTATTGGACGCGGTTTTCCAGTGAGGGGAGCCCTATTGGACGCGGTTTTCCAGTGAGGGGAGCCCTATTGGACGCGGTTTTCCAGTGAGGGGAGCCCTATTGGACAGAGTTTTCCAGTGAGGGGAGGACAGGTCTTGAATGGACTGCAGGATCCCTTTGTAAAGATCTTATGTCCCACAGGTAGCGGGAGCACAGTGGGATTCCCTCATTGGCATTCGCCATCAGAGGCACGCTGAGTCACCCCTGTGGGTTATGGGGGAGGTGATGCACCAGCATTCCACACCCAAAGGGTCACAGTAGGTGCACAGGATAAATGGCTAACCCTTGGTCTGACACAAAGCTTTGCTCTCATCTATATGTATCTGTGTACGTCTTTAAAGGGAGAGCATGATGAGATATTTGAAAACTTACACATTTCAAAATACCTGTTCTTGTACTTGTATAAAATGTTAAAGTTTCATTTCATTTATAATCACACTGCCCGAAAAAGGAAGTCACACTTAAACATGACATTTCCTGCTCTAAGAAGCCAGCAGTCATTTCTGTGCTGATTATATAAATATCAAACATGTAGAGAGATGTAGAGCATTTGCCTTGTTATTGAGTTGTTGACTGTGAAAAAGATTAAAGCTGTACGTCAGCTGCGATGAACCGGCGAACATTTCGGGGGCCTCGTTCCAGACGGTTAGTTAATCTCTAACAAAATACACGCACAACTGTTGTGAAAACAGTAAATCCTGGACCCTTACAGCAGGTTTAAAGACTGAACGGGTGCGATTATTACCGTTATTATAATTGAATTATTTGGCAGATGCTGGTGTCCCAAGCAATAGGGCGTAAACATAATGGAATTATACAATTAGTAAATACACCCCCCCCGTTTACACAGTGCAGAGAGGAGAATGGAATGAACGGCTCATTCTCAGCCCCCCGCCTCCCGTAACTCTGAGGGTGGGGCCCCCGCTTGCCTTCATTCGCAGTAAAGATGCTTTTCTGACAGTACACAGGATATCTTAGTGGTTACGTTTTGAAATTAATTTGTCTTTTGTGCAGGTACATATTACTGTGATTGCTTGCGCATAACCCATCATACTCTACTCTATAAGGCACTCACATACATTTAGAGGTGAGAGTGAGGGTTGAGGTCTGAGGGCAGGGGGTTAAGGGCCTTGCTGAAGGGCTCAACCGATTGGCGAACATGGGGTTCAAACGGTCGGCCCCCCAATGAAAGGCTCAGAGGCTTAGCCCCTACAGTGAGCCCTAGTGCTTTGAGGTAAGCAAGAGAGGTTCTCTGGTGCCCTAAATTCAGATTCATTCTCTGGTTTCTCGTAGTAATTGCTAGGTGGAAAAGACAGTAACGGGAGCTGGGGGGGTCACTCACGGTGTTGGGGGGCTGCCACCCCTCATTTGCCAGACGTCGAGGAGAACGCACCTGTCTCTACGGCCACAAGCTGCATTATCAGGGGAGGCGGAGGACCTGGCAAAGCAGACACCCCCACCGCCCCTCCATAGATCCTGGCGATGGCCATGCCGTCATGGAGGGGGGGGGGCATCGGGGCGGGGTCACACTGGCGGTGGGAGGGCAGGTGGGCGAGGAGGCCAAACAGGCGGGGCTAACCATTCACCGCACATGCGGATCTTTCTAGCGGAGCGCCGGAAAACAGATGGAAAACTCTCAGCCATGGCGTGCCTGTGGAATTCCGGTCCAGGGAAAGTGACATCAGAGCGTGACCGCCAACATGTCTGCAATGGCGCCCCCCAGAGCATGTGACGGTAACAGCAGCTGTTAGCGGGCAAAGGTACTCAGCCTAGCTGAGGTGTCCCCGATTCGCTGCATGAAGGACGAGATGCGTTTGGCAAGAGTAACAAACAGATTCACTGGAGAAGTGCAGGGAGGGTGGTGTCTTACCCCGGTAAAGACAGATCATGTGCTTTGCAAAGCTGCATCGTACTCAGCACACCTCAACAGGCACTGCATTAGCCTAGTTTGCAGAATTCATGTTCCATGCAGAAGAATTTTAATAAGTTGCCCTGCATTTTTTTTAAACCAAAGGTGGGGTCACTGTTTTGCTTGGGATAACTCGCTGGTTCTGAAGTCCCTTCCAGACATTCTGCATCTCACCAAGACACCCCCTTAATATTTTTACACCCCTTAAACCTCTGGAAATTTTTAACTGCTCCAGAAAGTGTCACACGTAACCGATAACTGTTGGATCTGACATGCCCTGCAGCAACTTTAAACAATAAATAAAATGTAAAAAAGACAAAGCATGAATTCAGTGTCCATTAATAACGGCCGGCACCAGCGACGCGGAGATCAAAACCAACTTTTCCCACATCTGCTCCGAGATCAGCAGCACACGTGTGGCGTCGCGGGGAAAATTCCAGCCTGGATGTACTTCACATGGAATTCCGCAGAGCCAAGAGCCCGACTGTGACACAATAACCCGGCCCGTTAAATGTTCCGGGGTTGGACTTTACCCGCTCCAGGCTGCATGAGCGAGAGCTTGGCCCCTATTGCTCTTAAGAAGAGAACAGGAATGAAGTCTTTCCTGCCTTGTGGTATAAGCACAGCAGAAGCGAGTATAGAGTATAAACTGCTATTTCAATGTACCGTGGTGGAAATCTAGGAAAATACTGGAAAGACTCAATCACTAGGTGGACTGTCACTAAAAATAAACAAAACATTTTTAAACAATAATAAAAAACTAAACATTTTGAGTCAATGTAATTACAAAAATAGGTTTGAATATTTTATTTGGAAAAGGAATACAAAACCTTTTTTAAGCATGCTTTCAGAACAATTCATTTATTACAATAACAGTGACAGTGATGTTCCGGGAACATTCTGGAAAGTTCGAGACGCAGGGGGTATGAGAATCAGGGCAGAGAGCCAGGGCGAGGTGCGTTGCCCAAACTGTGGCATCATCAGGGGCTCGTGGGACAATGGTAGCGATATTAGTCATGTGAACAATGCGCAGTGCTGCCTTGGTAACGGAGTCGCGCCACTCCTGTGCACTGGCGCGATCCCGCGGTAATGTGTCACAGCGACGGTGCCGTGCTGCCCCTACACAGAATCCCTAATTACAGATTAGAGACAACCAAAGCCTGCACTACAGCTTCCATGTGTCAGCTGACGCGGGGCACAGAGTGAACAAAGGGAGCGAGCCCCCCCCCCCATCTGCGAGAATGTAAAATGCATTAGATAGCGGCTGCGAGTAGGCAGGTGTGCCCGGGGCCACATCACAGCTGTGCTCTTGATTGAGTAGGAGGACAGTTTGAGATGCACCCAGAGGCCTGTGTAACCTCAGCAGAGCTATTAATACCAACTCCACACAAACAGCACCTACAAACAGCCAAAATGCCAAATCGCTCATTAACCATCTCCATCTACCCCTCCCCCCCCCGTATGTCAGTACATGCTGTGTGATATGTGTGTGTTTGTGTACACACTGTATGTGTGTACTCTGTGTGTAAGTGCTCTGTGTGTACACTCTGTATGACTATGTGTGTGAGGTTACTGTGAGTGTTTATGCTCTGTGTGTGTGTGTTTGTGTACACACTGTATGTCTGTACTCTGTGTGTAAGTGCTCTGTGTGTACACTCTGTATGACTATGTGTGTGAGGTTACTGTGAGTGTTTATGCTCTGTGTGTGTGTGTTTGTGTACACACTGTATGTCTGTACTCTGTGTGTAAGTGCTCTGTGTGTACACTCTGTATGACTATGTGTGTGAGGTTACTGTGAGTGTTTATGCTCTGTGTGTGTGTGTTTGTGTACACACTGTATGTGTGTACTCTGTGTGTAAGTGCTCTGTGTGTACACTCTGTATGACTATGTGTGTGAGGTTACTGTGAGTGTTTGTATGCTCTGTGTGTGTGTGTGTGTGTGTGTGTGTATACGATACAACAGGCGGGTCAGAGTAAGAGCCAGAGGGTGTAGTGACCAGGCCAACAGAGGCAATGGTGGTGGTGGGGGGGTACACAGTGCTGGGACGAGGGACTGGAAGGTTCCACTTATGAGATGCTGGGCCGCGATTCGCTTTGTTACTTCCCCCCCAAATCGGATCCTAAATTCCAACGTGGTGAGATCTCATTGTTCAAAACAAAATGGGACAGTGGAGTGGGGGGTGGGGGGCATGTTCAACCCCCCAGCAGCGAAGACGTCACAAGACACACAGGATGGTGCCCTCCTAAGGTGCCACTGTGACACACAGAGCAGCCAATTACAGCTCGCTGGCTGTCCCAGTCCTCCTCCGGTCTTTGCTGGTGGTGCAATGCATCCTGGGTGGGTACACACACACACGGCAGTTCCCATTTCAGCAGACAGGTGGCGCCGTGTTGCAGGGCCCTGAGCGGCTCTGAATTACAGCTGTTTATCTTCCAGCTTTCTTCAAGATTAATGAAATGCAAATGTGACACTGTGAATCATGGGAGTATCTGCCAGGCCCTTATTAATACCTCCGCTTAAACACCCCAGCACTGAAATGCATGGTGGGGGGCGGGGGCGGGGGGGACTGGGGATCACCTCACGCCTGGAAAACAATTCATGGATGACTGCCCAATTAGACCAGGAGCATGAGCTCTGGAGGACGCGGCAATAACCTGCCGACCCGGACGGCATGCAGGGAGGAGGGCCAGCCAATGGCATGCGTGTGAAGGCGGGGCCTGAGCCAGGGGGGTTGGGAGGGGGGGGGGGATTCCGGCAACGTCCTCCCCCAGTAAAGAGAAGAACAGCACGACGGAGCGGAAATTCAATGTGGCACTGCATATGGGAGGCATAAGAGCGGCTGAGCAGCGGCGTGTGAGGAGTTGGGCAGCCATCTTAAGGTCGGGGCATGTCTGCGTTTCATTTGCCCCGGGGGGGTGGGGGTACAGCCACAGGTTTGTGGCAGATGGTGCAGTGTCAGCTACATTTCCCTCCGATCCTCTCTTCCACCCGCCATACCCCCCTCCTCCCCCAGTTCCCTCTGATCAGGTAAATATGGCCATGCTCCGGAAAGTTATGTGGATTCCGTCTGGGGCTGGAAACTCGGCGACTCCATGCCGCCCCCTCCCCAGCCCCCATCACTGATCTTTGCTGGTGGAGGCTGACAGGACAGAGATGAAGCTGGACCGGAGGCTGCTCCAGGAGAACTGACCAGTGTCCACCTGCGTGGGTGGGGCAGGAGAGTGAGGTCAGCAACACAGAGACAAACAAAACACACATATGACGCTCTTATTACTGTATGTATCTGCGAGAACCTCCATAAAAAGGTGAATGGCTCTGCACTGGCACATAGACTGATAGGCCGTTAAAGTAATTAATACGTTTACAGCAGACTCCTCCATACACACTTCACACAACCAAATAGAGAACAATGTTTTTTGTTTTTTTTTTTAATTAGACGTCGATTAGTAGGTATTTCTCAGGATAAGCTCTAGACACCCTTGAAAAACTCAAAGCTTTTGGCTAATGTGTGCAGCATCGAATCTATGCAGAGCTGGTGCTCTGTGTCCCTGTCGCTCTGCAATTACACCGACAAAGTGCAATTTGGCTGAGGGTGGGGGCATTCAAGTTTCGTTAAAACATTTTTTCTATGCAACAAATCCGAACCAATCAGAATCATCTTTGTCCTTGCTGTCTAGACGATAGACTGGTTTGTGGGAAATGTATTCATCTTGAACTCAACTTGAACTTTTTTTGCTTTAGAAATATCACAATATTTATCGCAAAGAAATCACGTCGCGATATCTGAAATTTTACAATATAATGCAGCCCGAGGCTGCATTATATTGTATTTTTTAACAGTGTGAATGGCAGCAACCGTGGCAAAAACAGCAGGCTTGAAATGAGGCAAACACAACTTGTCCCACACTAAAATTCCCACCAGCGGGAAACAAACAACAACAACATTGCTGGGGAGATGCGTGTCAGGCTATGGCGTAGGGTAGGTGGTTACTCTGTACCAACAGCGTGGATTCTACACAGAAGTACAAGTCAGCCTTTATGGACGGCTCTGTAACAGTGACTGGGACTGCGACACAATCAAAAGCTCCGGACGGTGTTCAGGTCGGTACAGACACCGCAGCTCACGACCGACGGGGTCCAGATCGGCGGCGGATGGGCAGCATGAGCTTGCAGCCGAGCATATGCAGAGAGTGTCTGCTCTCCCCGTGCCGTGTGGGTGATGTGAAGTTTCCCTGGGAGCTGGGAGCTGAATTCCTCGTAGGGAGCTGGGGAGGAACATAAGCCCTCACATGTGACTCTGAACGGCACCCCAGGGGCGACAGGGTCCCGCTGTGATGCGGGGAGGGGTGGGGAGGGGAGGAGCCAGCCAGCCGACCTACCAGGAGACGACCACCATCAAAGCCGGGAGGTGGCAAAGCAGGAATCTGCTTAAAATGGGGGAGGGGCATAAAGCT